GTGTGTACGACATCAGTAATGTTATGCCAATTCCAAGAATGTTTTAAGGTTATATCGGTTGATGAGGAATTTATTGATTAGGCCTATAGCAAATTGCATCAACTTATTTTGCAAAATCAGGGGGGGGCATATCCAGTGTCCGTACAAGGGCACACATTGGCGCTAATACCAGGCGCGTAACAGGGATCTTGGGGAAGGTGGTATTTATTTTCCTGAGTAATTTATCATACCCACCGCACCCCACTCCCCATATAGAAAACAATACGACATAGGGCTTATCTTGTTTATAATATAGGCCACACACGTGTGTTTGAAACTAAATATAAGCATTTTCATCATGGTTTTATTTATTACAAACATATTCTTTCACCATCAATACACATTGAGGCCCTTCTTCTATGTTGAAACGATCTATCTTAAATTTTTATTTCTTGAGTTTGGGACTATTATATGTTTAAATAACTTAACCTAAAAAAACCATAAAAAGTGCGCAAAACATTTTCGTGTTTTTAATTCTAATTTCCTCGGAATTGATGAAAACTCCCTAAAATGTGCAATTTATAGAGGAAATTGGCCTACGCGCGAAGAATTTGAGAATTTTAGGCACTTTCAGAGGATGCATTTATCAAGGGGTGGGGAAAGATTTTCCAAAGATGGATATTTCCCCTTGTCCCCCGGTGTTTTTAATTCTAATTTCGTCGGAATTAATTCAAACTCCCTAAAATGAGCAATTTTTAGAGGAATTTGGACCATTTTAACAAGAAATGTGCGCGAAGCGCGCAAATTTGAGATTTTTAGGCACTTTCAGGGGATATAAAGGGGTGGGAAAGATTTTCCAAAGATAATTATTTTCCCATTGTCCCCCGGCGGCTACGCCATCGGGCAGCATATATCAAGGAGTTATGACAGTTTTTGAAGTGGAGAAGGGGTTGCAGGGTGTTGTGAGTCTGGTCATTATGATATCTTCCTTTTTATTCTTGTCTTTATTTTTCTCTTCTCTTTTTCTTTTCTTTTCCTTTTCTTTTTCCATTCTTTCTCTTTCGCTCCCTCTCCCCTCTTTCTTTTCTCCTATTACCCAGCCCGGTACGACGGCTTGGTCAGCCCGGTAAAAACCGTCAGGGGAGGGGCAGTCTGCTCCCCTACCACTGGCTTACACGCCAATCATCCCCCCACCCCCAATGAAAAATACATTTCTACGCCACTGATTATAAATAGCTATATCAAACTTGATTAATATAGGCTTTTAGGTAAAGTATTTGAATATTTAATTATTCTACTTAATATATTTGTAAAATTTGATTCTGTTTTTGACTTTTGTGACTTTGTAGTTTTGAACTTGTCAACGAAACAAATTTCCTTTCTTGAACAAATAAAGTTTCTGTATTCTGTATTGCACTTTTCACGGGACTGGGGCTACCTCACCACTTTACACAAATCAGGGAAAATACCACTTTCAATAGATAAATTACAAATATATGATAAAGTTTTGGCTATAAAAGGACATATGTGTTTTTGTATGATAGAACTAACATAACCAATGCCTTCTGTATTTCAATTCTTCATTTTACTTACAATTTCCAATATTTCATGTTCGTCTGTGGGACTTCAAGACATGGAATTTCTATAATTACCCTGCATAAAATCTATAAAATCGATATTTTCACTCGGAATACTGCTGGATAATTTTTGATTAATGTTTGAAAAACAAAATCATTACAAGTATTGTGCATATCATTTGTTGAGTTCCTTCTAGTTTATTTGCAAAATGATTAAGATTAGCGATTCCTCAACAATGTGTTAATTCATTTCTGTACTTTTTACTAATTTCAGTTCGAGTTACAAAGAAATTTCTTATAGAGTTTATGTTTTGTTTTAATCGATATCAGCATTCCCTTCGTAATCCAGGGTTTACGTGCGTTAGATGATTTAGAAGTTTTGTTTCGTTGGGATATTTTCTTCAATAAGATTCATTAATCTTTTTGTAAAACATAGGTCTATGCATAATCGGTTCAATAAACGTCACTCCAATTTTGCTTAGATGCAGTTCACATAGACTTATTTAGAGTAAAACTGTTCACTAATTTAGTTACTGATATATCTCGTGGTTTATAAGAACTCTTATGGTTTAACAAGGGTGGAGCAAACATAAACACAGGAAGATGATCAGTTATGTCTACCAATATTAGTCAGGGTGTGTTGGTATGAGAGTCATGTTTCAATGAGTCTATGTTAAAATTACCAATTATGTAACATGTTTTCTTATCTGTATTCAATTTAATTAACAAATCTTCAATTGCGTCATTGAAGTCAACAATACTTGAATTGCAATTTTTATTTTTGTATTCTCAACTTCAACAAAGAGAGAGTCTACTTGTACGTTATTAATAGTAAGGTCATCTCGCTTAGATTCTACCAAAGTGTTATTTAAATACAAATAGACCCCACCTCCCCCTTTATTGTCTCTGTTGCAAGTAGGCATAAACATTTGATAATCGGATATCTTTAACATGTCAATTTAGACAGTGTTGTTCAACCAACTTTCTGAAAAACCTAATCATAAGAAAAGTTTGAATAGACGAATGAGTGTATTGATTTCATCATAGTACTTTGGTAAACTGCGTGCGTTCATATGCAAAAGTAAAAAATGAATCTTCAAATCTTGAACGTTTTATCTGATTTTTTTTTGGTTGTTAGTGCAATTTTAACAGTTAAAAACGTCATTTTCTAAAGATGTCATTTATATATCTCCAATTGTTATTACAAGTGTTATTAAAGAAAAAGCGAGACATAACAAAATGACCATGTAATCAGTGTCTCTTTTTTATATAATCAATGTGTTACTGGAGAGTGAGAGATAAATAAATACAAAATAATAACAGCACTCACAATCTATATATATATATATATATATGCTGTCTCTTATAC